AACGTTCATCTGTTGGAAAAGAGCTACCAGGGGACATGTTCCCCCATTGTTCACCCTGCAGCTGCCAAACTATTCCTGTCCAGAAAACGGAGGGATGCCAGAGCTAAGCACCCCATTAGCACAGCAAAAACTAATATTAAACTAATATTTAAGCCTCTGTCTTTTCCTCCTGTTCTCAGCAGACTGCAGCAGCTGCGCGAGGGGTGCAAGTTTGCATCCACTCATAGCGGTGGGAACCTCGAGTCCCCAGCGCTTCACAATCCGTGGAAACACCTCTAGTGATGGGCTTTGGATGAGGCTGTGCCATAAAAACATATTCTTGCTGTGGTGAGAGCACACAGTGACTTTCACGACAGCACACAGTAATTTTTCATTTCTGCTGTGCAGGCGAAAGCAACAATTTCGAGAGCACAGCTAAGCACAGTGGTGGGAGCTGTGGAAATGCTGAGGACTAAATACCCCAAGTGTTAATTAAAATTTGCAAAAAGCTTCTGTCCCTTTTACTCCTGAATTGTGCAGAGCAGCAAGGCTCATTTCATGTGAACAGAAGACAAATTTTGGACATAAACTCATCTGCAAGCAGCCGAGCAATATAAATTTAGCCTTAAAACTGCATGAGTGGGTACTGGTCACATGCTGGAACCTTCACAAGCGCACAGTGTAGGATTGGACCCATCACTACAGTTCACCTCGAGAGCAAAGCTTTTTTGCTCTTCTGCTGCTATTTTAAATGAAATTAGTTGAAAGTTAGCATAGGTCTTTTTTTTTTTTTTTCTGTTCAGATATCAGTAGCTTTGCTGAAAAGGATTGAACACTGTTTCACAGCAATCTCTGAGCTGCCACTGAACTGCTGTATCCTCTGGGCAGAGCATTAATCCTGCAGATGTCAGAGTCTTATTTTAACACAACACGTAGGTTACTCTTATCTGATCAGGGTTTGTTTTTTCTTCCCCCGTAAGGCTCTTTCTATTTGCTTTTTGAAATTCCCATGTAAAATCTGCTCACAGTTCAAAGGTAGCCAATTTTTGAAAAATGATGACTTTACCACTTGATCAGATTAAGCGATAGAGCCCACCTTTGGGCTGGGCCAGCACCCAGCCAGGGAGGGAGTGCAGTATGTGTGTGCTTTGCAGAGCACATCCCATCGTGTGCAGTGCTTCCCACATGCTCTCGTGCCCTGAAAATGCCTTCCATCTTCTACTGAAGATGAGATTTCTCCTCTCTGACACTAGTGGGGCTCCGACTGCTCTGAAGCCAGTGCGCGCACCCATTTATTCCTGCACAACGAATCGGTATGGCAGAGAGGAACCGGGACAGGAGGGCAAGCCACCTCCATCCCATGGGGATTCTGAGGGTTCCCAGGTGACAAGTGACAATGTGATGGAGTCAAGCATGCAGACCTTGTATTTAATGCCTGATCCCAAGCAACACTGGTGTGAGCTGGCCAGGAACCTTATTGGAGGTGTTATCAGACTTTAAAGAAAATGAAGCAATATTACCAATATTGACAGGCAGCTGGTGGACCTCTGCTGTGCCTGCTCTGTCAGGAACAGCCAGCTCAATTCCACCAAATCCTCTCTAAACGTACCCTGCTTGGGTACGCTCTTCAAGGCTCCACTGGGCAACGGGAATCTCAGTTCTTCCCTCCCAGGCCTGCACCCTTTTCTGGGAAATCCTGATGTCAGAGCCTGCCCTGCAGTGGGCTGGGTCAAGACAGAGAAGCAGTAGGCCAGGTCTAGATGACATACCATGTGAGATCACCACAAGACCTGCGCAGCAGCTCCGTCATTTGCCCATCCCTGTGAAAACATCACTGGTACTTTGTCATATAAAATTTAACCATGAGACCCCGTAAGACAAATGACACCACTCGAACCCACTTGTTGTCCCAGCATGATCTCATTCCATTCCACGAATGAGTGAACTTCTGAGGAAACCGGAGCTACTGACATTTCCCAGGTGCTCCAGCTCCCTCTTCTCCCTGTGTCATCTCAGCTTCTGGCGCCTTTGCCCAGCTCGGATCGGTGTGCGAGGCAGGGCAATGCTGCTCCCTCCGCCAGCTCGGCTGAGAACTGATGCTCAGAGACATGAAATGATTTGTGCGAGATCACAAAACCAGACGTGAAGCAGGACACGTCCCTTGCTCTTGGTTCCAGGCACTACCTCTTCCTGCGCCCATCTCTGGAGTAAGAGGAAGCAACTACTGAAAGTTGTCCTCCTCCTTCTACCTGCAGTGGACAAAGAGGAATTGAAGTGTGTGGGCTGGGAAATGCAATTCCCTGCCTCGGGCAGAGCTGGAGAGCCACGAAAGGCAGCAGCACGCAAGGGGGGAAAAACCCATCGTCTGCAATTCCTTTTTTTTCCTTGAGGGCTGCTTTTGCAGGAATCTGAGCTGCAGTGGAAGGCAGGGATCAGAAAATGCGGGCTCTTGTTTTCATTCCTACCTCCTTGGGCTTGCCCCAAAGCTCTGGGCGTCCCACAAATCCCAGCCCAGCCTCAGCCACGCCATGAGGTTCCACTCTTCCGAGGAAGGGACTCCACGGGAGAGGCTGTCTTTGAAAAAATGGACTAAAAATAGTGATTATTGCATTGACTCAGCCACCTCTAAAACGGATGAAATACAATTTACCTGACTCACAGAATTTCAGTAAGGTAAACTTACTAAAGAGCTATCGAGAACCGAAAGAGAAAGGCACCATAGAAATGTATGTTAATTATTTGTCAGGTGAGGAAAAAAAAAAGTTCTGTCAAGTGTCCAACTGCACTGCAAAGCCACCGGTCCGAATCCCAGGGAAACAGAAACTCTTCCACAATCTCATTAAGCTTTGGATTGGGCCCTAGAAGAAAAGTTTAATTATTCCTCACTTGCAAGTTCAACACATAGAGCACACCTTCAGCCTTAAAGACAGTATTTTTTTTTAAAGACGTGTTGTAAAATTACATTAAAAAAAAAAAAAACAAACAGCTTTGCCCAAAGGTAACTTACTTGGTGACTCTGCAAGCTGAAATCCTGAGAAATTACTAATAAGGAAATGAGATAATTTTTAAATAAAATAAAAGCCTGCTTTGCACTTTAACAGAATATATTAATTTTCATGTGGAAGGCATACGGACATTCAGGCACACTTAAACAGTGTTACATTTAAATTCAACATGTATGCTTTATTTCAGTGTGATTATACATTGCAGTAATTAAACAAAATGCTCTCAGAACCGCTGCGTTCTTGTTACTTTTTAAATACTGAAATGCGCGAGGCACTCACACAATTTCTAATTTTTTTTCCCTCTAAATCTTGTATTTGACCCTCTTTTTCCGGGGGGGGCGGTGGGGAAGCAGCGGATAAAACTGGAATTTGGAGAGTTGCTTTTGCTTTCTTTCTTTCTTTTTTTCCCTCCAACTCGCAATTAGAAGGCTGGATTCCGCGGATAATTAGAATCAAATGCTTCAAATAAATGCCGCAAAGCCAGGGCTCGCTCGGAGAGAGGATCGAACAGGCAGAGCTTTCCAAAAAAATAAAAGAGGGGTTTTGCCGAGGGGTCCGAGCCGCGCAGCCCCGCACCGCCCCC